TAAGGGCCACATGGCATTATGTCATATCACTTGGATGTTACTAAAACATAAGAACAAGCAATTCTACAATGTAATTTAGAAGCACCAGTGAAATGTTTTATTGATTGATCTCTGTTAATTGCTCCCAAGATTGTTTTATATGATGCTATTGTAGCTAAGGGCCTGATCTGCAGATGCTTTCTTGCATGAGAAGTCTTTGCTCATGTGTCAATTGTATAAAAATAAATGCACATCAAAATGTGCACACAGAGACTTGCAGATTCAGGTTTAAAAGCTGTTTTGGCCTTAACTGACCTTGTAAGTCTTTTAATAAAGAAAGAATTATGATCATCAAGGTCCCTTTTTTATGCTACATTGTTTATACTGTATTTTCTATGATATAGAAAAGTTGGAATTTTCCAGTGAGGGAATCATTTAAAAAAGTTCATCCCTTTATCAGTTGCATGTTAGTATGGGATGTGGATTGTGATGAGGACACAATGATGCAGCAGAATTTGGTAATCTATCCAGTACATTCCGTACCCTGAAAGATGAATATACTCTTTCTCTAAGATTAATTTAAGCTATTTCCAGAAGCCATAGAACACAGACTCAGAGGGAAATATTATGTAAGTAGTCTCTCTACATATGTTCTGCATTACCCTAACATTTTAAACAAATATTGCACAACAGAGTATATATGAAAAGGCTTTTGATTTGGAATCCCCAGATAGATTATTTTTGTCCATGAAAGTAAACCTACAGATTCTAGGCATGTTCTCTGCATAGCTCTTCTCCCCTTCATCTGAGATGAGATTCAGGAGTTGTGTCTGAAAATATTTATCGTCTGAAATCTCTTTGGGAGTCTAAGTGAAATAAGTTGCTGTTCTCTATCCTGTTCTTGAGGCACAAATGTCCATATTACAAAATCCACCAATCCAATCAGCATGCTTGTCAGCCTCAGCAAAGACAAATACAGTATTTGCCTGGACAGTGAACTACCTTCTTGCCCCTAGAGATGGTCCTTCCAGCTTGGGTTAAAATAAAAGGGGCCTGCCTGGTTCAGTGGGAGCCTCTCCATTGGCTTCAGTGGGCTTTAAGTCAGGCCAATGGTGTGGTAGCTAGGGCAAGCTTGCACTGCTACTGCCTGTGGTGCATTGTTTTGTGGAATAACGGATGTGCCATAGAGTTTGTCCACACTTCCCATTTAACTATTCACAAACACACAGCTCTGCCAGGGTTAGGGGCATCTGAGTTCTAACCACCTTTTTATATTGCTGTTGTGGATGGTATGGCTATAGAATGGTGAGAAGATCATGCCCCTGGGATCCACATGCAAAGGGAAACCCTCTATGGATGGATCTCTCTCCCTGGTGGAAAGAAGGAATCAACCACTTTTGTGGAGGTTCTCTCTCCTTATTTCAGATCCCAGAGAAGACTCTCTCCATTAGTGCAGCAATCCACAAGTAGGGAGACCACAGGAAATGCGGGCTAGCCATGTGCACATCCAGGACAAACTGAAGAGGAAAGGAATACCACCAGAAGCTGTGTTAAATTTTTTTATGGAGCCTTATCCTTGCTGAGGACCACAGTTAAGAGGGAGACTCTTAAGGAGTTCATTTGGAGACAAAGGACGGCTTCATATATGGCCCTGAGGCAGCTGTGGATCCCCGTGACCTGTGGATGGGCCTTTGAGTCTCCAGTCTTCTCATCTAGCAACCTTTTAAACAGACAACAAAATTCACTTTAAAAACGAAACTGACAATGAATAGGAGGCTGAAATATCAAAAGCCCTATCTCTGTTACTAAAACTTGTTTTTCCCAAATGGGGACATTTTTCTATAACTTAGAAATTGTAATCTTTTGAAAAATACACAAAAAATATTAACCCATAAATTGAACTTACTTCACTCTTCCATTTCCACCATGTCCAGGTCTGGAGAATGCTACTGTCCAGTCATCTGTTTTGTCAAACCTAAATTAAACTTTAAATCATGGCTACAGGGTACATTTTGTCATAGTGTACCGGAGTGAAAACATGAGTCATTTCCAAATCTCTCTAAACCAAAGGCTACCAAGAATTGATTAGAAACATCTTGCTTCATTGTGTAAGTTACAGAGCTACTACTGTAGCTACAGAAAGAAGAGAGTAATTGAGTATGCTAACTCTTCAGTAAACAAGCAGTGGGGGAAATTTTCATGCAGCTACTAGGGTGTAAAATGGTGATGGGAAAATTAAGAACCAACTCAAACTTTCACCTCAAGTTCATACCAGTTCTGAGCCCATAACTTTTAAAGACATAAGGTGATTTTTTTTACTCCATTTTCCTACATATCTCCGTTTCTTCATTTATAGAAATGTCCTATAGAATTCAATAGGGATGAAACCCAAAAGTTTTGAAGAAATTGGTTTTAGGGTCTAACGAACTGAATGGCAAATTATATCTAGAGGATTCAGTGGACAATTATATCTGGGAGTTTTGTTGTTTGCCTTAAAAATTCTACAGAAAGGTTGTTTTGCATTTTAAAAAAATCTCTAGGCCTCTTCCATAAGGGGTGGTTTTCTCCCAGAAGCAAATTCAATGATGAAGGATACTATAAATCTCTTGAGAGAGCTGGTCCTCATGAGACTTCCAGCTGGTTTCTAGGCTCAAGAAGATCAGACAGCTGTGTAGCTATGATCAATTGAATCTTGTACAAATTCATGACACTATCAGGAATCTCTGAACAATCCAAACAGATTCAAGTCCAGTTGACGAAGGAAAATAAGAGAAATGTAAGCACCTCTCATAAGCCACTTGCAGGGCTCTCGATGTGTATTCATATATTGCTTTATGACCACTTTGTAGATCTCTTCATCATTGTTCACGTTTCCCTTTCTATGATGTTTTAAATTCTTTATATACACTTGCTTATATTGTGCAAAAGTTCCTCTTAACTTTCAAGTGTCTTCTACACTTTATAATGATCCTTATTCTTCAGTTATTTGTACTACTTTCTTAGAAGCATGAACATATTTTTCTTTGATTACTTTTTTATTTGTCACCCTTTGATTATTCCCCCATTTTCTTTGAGTACAGTTGATGGTTAATGAACCTGGCTTTGTTTAACAACATCTTACGGATTTTGTATCATGTGATTACAACATGGGCTAGCTTCACAAAGAAAGTAGGTGTGGTGATGCTCTTGGAGATAGGCACCTAAGACTGGGCACCAGTGAGGTGCCAATGTCTGGTTAGCAATCTATAAATGAGAAACTCTTTCCTGGACTCAGGCAATTTAGGCTTAAGGTGGTCCATTGTGGATAAACAATTAAAAAAATTCCTTGAAGCAGAGAGAGACTGGATTCTGGGTCTCCCACCTCCCAGATACTACTATGCTAGAACTTAGATGTGGATGGGGGAGGTCTTTCTCCTCCTCTGCCCATCCCAGGCCCCTCCTCCTAACATATGTATGTAAGCTTGCCTATAAGGGCCTGATCTGGTAGGCGAGCTCTAAGCACACTTACTGGGTCAGTCCCCACCAGCTACTTAGGCAGAGGAATGCTTATCTTCTCCTGGTTTGTGAATTGCTCTGGGGCTTAGGCATCCAGATATCTGGCTTGGGGGTGACATACAGGTGCCTACTACAAAAGTTTTTTACTACAAAAGTTTAGGTGTCGAGTGAGTTTAGATACCTTAAAGGATTTGGGGGGAGCTGAGCAGGGGTTGTGTGTATCCTAATGGGGCATGATTCTGGGATGTAGATGCCAATAGTGTCAGATAAGTGCCAAAAGCCCTTCGTGAATCTAACCCTATGTCTCTCTCTGTATTCCAGCATTGCCAGTAATAGCTGCACTGTTCTGTATTGGTTCATCAATTAATTAGTGCTGCGGAGCTAACACAGACAGCTCAGGAGGACATTGTGTTACTCTAAGTCTAAGAATAAATGTGGTTCTTGCTCTGTTTTTAAAAAGAAAATTGCTAATGGAATAGTAGATTTAAAAACAAATTCTCAGAGTTCCACATAAATAATCTAGGCGGGGTTGGGTGCATTGTTCCCATTGCCAGCTCAGAGAGCCTGTGTGCCCAAACATGTAGAATGACCTCCAGGCCATGCCCTGGAATACTCCTCTGTAAGCCCTATCACAATAGTCCTGCAAAATGGCCATTCCACAGACTTTATGGGGAGCCAGAATCACAGCAAAAAAAATCCACTCTCTGCTCATCTTGTGCCTTCAGGTTTTCTAGGCCTTGATTCTACGCACACAGCTCTGCAGGGCTACTCACATGTGCAAACTCACTTGTGTGTTACATGTTTGCAGAACCCAGACACTAATGTACAACCATGCACAATGGGCAGCCAAAAGTTGGCCCAGGGGTATTTCTACTGTTTAAATGCCTTTATCAGAAATCTGCCTGAAGTTGTTACCTTTACTCTGTTTCAGCAGTGTTTTTTCTCCAGATCTAGTCCCACAGAAATCATTAGAACTACCTACGAGCATTACTGAGACAAAGATCTAGTACTGACAATGTGGCAGGTATTAAGCAAGGCCCCAGCAGCAAATTCACCTAGCTTCCATGCTGTTACTAGTCTCAGAAAATCTACCTCCCTACAACTGGTTTATGTAACAGAGAAGCTGGATGAATTTATCTGTGCTACTTTATATAAAAAAAGGAAAGAATATTATTGCATCAAAGAAGAACGAAAGGTTAGAATAACTGTTATAGAGCTGTTAACATTTCCAAAAGGTTATATTTTTCTTAAATTGGCTGGCAAGTATAATTCTACACGTACTGTAATCCTTCCTGTGCAGAGGGTATTATTAATTCTAAAATGAGTAAAATATTGGAAAATGGAAAGAAAACTCAAAGCTAAATATAGATTGTTCATCTTTTAATAGAAACAAAATCTGACATGTTTCCTGGAGTCCTATTTAATATCATTCTATTTTCGTCCAATAAAAAAGAAAATGTTTTCCACGATCCAACTGGAAATTTGCAAAGTTGAAATAAAATGCCTTTTGGTATTATTATTCATAGGTTTGTCCAGGGACTACTCTTCTTAATGGATAAAATGGGCCTTTCTTCTTTTTAACCTATGGATGGAAAATCCTGACTTTCCTTCTAAGAGAACAGACTTCTGTTTCCCTTGTGAATTATCCTTTTGGAACTAACCAGAACACCTTGGTCTCCTACATTGCTGTACAAAGGATTCCACTCTGCATTCAAAAAAGCAAGACTATTTAAACTATATTCATATTTAAAGATGACCATTCGAATGGAAGACAGGCACAGAGGACTGGACTGCAACTATTCTGGCTTTGTGGTTGTATAATATTTGATTATTTTGTCTGGCATAAGTTTTCTTTCAAATAAAAGAAATGTTGCACAAAACAAACTTGGATTAGGAGTTTAAAATGTACTTCCCACTCCCTCTTCCCAAATCTCCATGGAAAAACAGTTTAATAGCTTTTCATGGGAGGAAGTATCTGTTTCTGGAGAACCCAAATGCAGACATTTGTCCTTGATTGGAATTTTAACTCTACCAGTATTATATGCTAAAGGTTAAGGTACATATGTGTCTTGTCTTCTAAACCATGAGCTTTCTAAGCTCTGCAAAACTCTGCTGCCACCTACATGATCAACCTCATCCCTAAAAAAAGAAAAGGAGGACTTGTGGCACCTTAGAGACTAACACATTTATTTGTCTCTAAGGTGCCACAAGTCCTCCTGTTCTTTTTGCGGATACAGACTAACACGGCTGCTACATCCCTGTTTACTCTCACAAATTCCCTCACTCAGCTCTGCTGATACCTCATACCCCACTCCCATCTCTGTGCCTTCTTTCACATTAACATCCATGACGGGAACATTTTTCTCATCCTAGCCAATTGAGCTCCACCCATGCACTCCTTTAATTTCCTTTGAAATATACCTTTCTCACCCAGCTGGCCAGACATAGCCACTGCCTCCTGACCTGTGAGGGTTCATTAAAAAAATCTGCTGCATGCCTCTGGTAAGCGGTGCCTCCTCGGCTTTTGTTAATGAATGTGCTTGACTTCTTTGGCTGTAAAGTCCTCAGTGTAGGGAGTGTGGCTCCTTTTTTTGTTCTGAATGTTGTGAGCAACGGGTCAGTGCTCAATAAATAAAAAATGTATAGCCAAAGGACTAAATTCTGGCTGACAATGAGCGTACATACACATCAAAAACGTGTGGGGCGCAGTAGGAGCGTGCAGTGGATGCTGGCTGCCCTGTTTCTGCTTCCTGTGGAAAGTCACAAACCTCTGCAAGTGATGAGGGCCACAAGGGACATAGCAGGGGGAAGTACTTATAGTCCCTGTGTTTAACTGAATTTACATATGACACTGCCTGAACCAAACAGTCATTCCTGTGCACTGTGTGGAAATTATTCCTGCTCTTAGCAGGAGTGGAATGCAGAAGAGAGCTAAATGTATATTTGCTTTCAGATTGAATATGGGCAGATACCAAACCAACCCCACTTTTTCAGTCTCTATATGTGTCCTTGTGATGGTTTAAGGGATTATGCCGCTTTCCCTGTATTGTTATTAATAGCCACAATTTGGCCCATTGTTGTATCAATCCCTCTCAATTCTAGCAAGACCCACACAAGTGATAAATGTTAAAGGTAAGGGTCACAGATTGCATACACTTCCTTTCTCCCTCATGATGTTGAGGAAATCACTTAATCTCTCTGTGTCTGTTTGCCTACCTGTAAAACGGGGAGGTGATGATACCTACCTGTCTTTGTAAAATACTTTTGTTGTTAAAGATTGCAAAATGATGCAACAGGCGAGTGGGTATTAATTGCATTGCATTGCTATTTGTTGTAATTACATTAATCCTGTTAAATATGTTTGCTTGGAAAGTAGATGGACTAGCCTATGTAGAGCCACTGGAATCTTTATTACAGCTGAGTCCCTGGCTACAATTATAGTGTTAATGCTGGGGGAGGAAGGAGAAGGAAAGGCACTCAATGAAAATTAACATGGACTTTATTACTTCAAAGTCTTTGTGGGCCTCTGAGGAACACATTTTAAAAAATGTGTTTAAAATTAATGTCTGGTCAGTGTCCTTTTCTCCTAAGGGAACAGTGCCTCTTCAGATGTCAGCTAACACACTTAAAACAACATCGACAATCCATGCTGCAGAATCAAAGAGAGGATGGGAATGAGAATGAGGAGTGTGAAAAACCTGTTCCAACCCCTTGTGCTTCGAAACAGAATCTTTTGGAAAGTCTAATTCCCGAGCAGTTTGTTAAGAAAAGGTAACTGGCAATGATTACTGGCCTTTGGTCTTAACAGTCGGCTCGTGCCGCATACTGAATCCCCGAAGTTCTTGCTGAGTCTGATAGCGCATTGTGCTGAGTGGCCTCAACTCCCATTGGTTTCAGTGGGAGATACGAATGCTCAGCGACTTTTGGGATTAGACTGGAATTGTGGCTGGTTCTTACTAGTACAGCATGCATTCTGGGCAGCAGACCCACTGTACAGCCCCGCACCATACAAAGGATCTTTGTATGAACCTTCAGAGGCTTCTTGGCTTGTTATTTTAGTGAATGATAGAATCTGAGGCAGAAACAGACCTCACAGTAAAACTACCAATGAAATTCCAAGCTTTGCCCTCTTACTTTACATTTGCTGTCGGGTGTTAGCCAGCCTTGCTTTAAGAGTCCCACTTTCCATCGAGAGCTCTTGAAGTCTTTATAGAGGGCAGTCTGCATATTACCTTGAACAATATCATTCTAATTAATAGGCCACTGGCTGTGCTTGGATTGCTTTATTTAGGTGGAGATATATCTATGACACTCATCACCATGGTACCAGAATGCCTCATAACCAGTTAGGGCTAGATTGTGCCTTTAGGGTGATACAGACAAGGGAGAAACTAAAGGATGGTGCCTCAGGGAAGCACAATCCCTCCCCCCATTCCTGAGTGCATAGAGGTTATCTAGACCACACTGTTACTTCTGGGGTACTTAGCACAGGGGTTGGTACTATAGTCCCTTCTGTTTGGGTGGTGATGAATGCCCTCGGGGGCCCATAAGAGGAAACAAACCCTGCTCTCACCTAAATGCAGGGACTGCAACTGTGACTGTCCTCTTGTGCAGACTGCACAATGGGGAAAGGGCTCCTTGCCCCCTACCATGACTAATATCAGTCTGGTCTCATTGCACCCCTGGAGGCACGGGTGGATCATTATCTTCATTAGGCAGCAGGGGAAGCTGAGACAAAGAGAAGTTAACTGACTTGGTCAAGGGCATGCACTAAATCTGTGAACAGGACTCAGGTGACCAGAGTCCCAGTCCAGTTCTGTTCCACCCATAGCACCACCAACTCAGTCCTTATTTCAGAAATAGAGGACCCCAGTGAACACAACAAAATAAGTTTTAAAACATGGAAATAGCACCCTAGTGTACATGACCCTTTAAAAATCTCAAGGCTCAACTGGCTTGTGGGAAATATTTTTCATAATTATCTAAATAAAAATGTCACCTCTCAGCATGGGCAAACTGTGAGATTATCTGATCTTGAAGGACATTATTTTAGTTCCTTCTACAAGTGAGTTATAGCTTGTCTAGGATAGTAGATGCTCTGACACTGTGGTAAAGGGAGAGGTATCAAAATTTGATAGATATACGCAAATGGAAAAAAATGCAGCAAAACAGCTATTACATGAAACTGAAAGGAAAGGCTATCACTTCCATGCACTGTAACAAACAGACCTGCCAAGTTATGGCTGAGAATGTGAAATAAATGAACATTTTTGGACGCAGCACCACAATTAACAGATGACGCTCTGAAAAGCCTGGGTCAGATCCTCAGCTGCTGCAAATGGGTATACTTTGGCCTCAGTGGAGTTGCTCTGATTTACACCCCATGAGGTCCTAAACAACTTTCTACAAAAAGTTCAATTCTACTCTTTGAACAAGTTATGTTGAGACAGACCACTCAGTTCCTAGCTCTTTGTCTTTGAAGGCAGCTATAAATCGGTACCCCTGAGGGATCACATTCCCTACCAGAGGCTGGAATGTTAATAGGATGAATAACACAAAATTAAACTGTTTTCTTGGCAAATCTGACCAAAATCTGAAAGGAAGAGAGAAACACAATTGGTTCCTGTCCATTTAATATCACTGATGGAGTCAGAAATGTTACAGAATTCCACTCTGCTTGTCCTTTGGGGCGTTTGTCTTATGGGGAACAAAACATCTGGTTCCGATTGCAGTTACATTTTACGAATTGAGCTCACAAAGGGAAAGAACAATCACCATTTAATACCTTTCAAATACATTATTTATTTGTACTGTGGCAGAGCATAGAAGCCCTAATCATGGACCAGACCCCACTGTGTTAGGCACTGTGGAAACGCAGGCCAAAAAAGATGGTCCTTGGCCCAGAGAGCTCACACTCAGACATGTGCACCTGACACCAGGCCATGTGGTCATTCAAGGGGAATTCTTAACCCTTCTTCTGAGGTCCAGAGGAACCACATAGGGAGGGGGAAGGCCAAGGAAGATAAGATGGTCTGTACAGATGTGTGTACACTGTGTGTAGTGCAGAGCCCAGCACCTAGTGGAAGGGGAGGGTGTTTTGTGACTGGCTGGGGAAGGGTGGGGCGGGATGCTCAGGGATGCAGCTGCTGAGCAGTTCTGCAACTGGTCCAGAAGGAGGCGGACGATTCCTTATTGCAAAATCATTCCCTAGGGAGAACATCAACGTATAACCCACTACTCTGACTGGGCTGTAGTGACCAGCCTTTGGACCATAACAAATACAACACAAGAGAGACCTCTTTCAAGAGCTCTCAAGTCCAGAGAAGTCATGTAGTTTCTTACATGCTCTTGGACATTGTTAAATGTCATTCTAACGGTGACTTACCCCTTATCCAAATCACACATCTCTGCCTACACAGCACTTGAAAGATGTCGGATGGAATAGCACCCAGATTTAGGCTGTTGAAGGGATTTTATAAAAAATATTTGTAATTAAAACATTTTAATAAATTCTTTTTTTAAATTGGTGTAAGTAAAACCATATTTTAAGCCCCTTTACTCCCCACCCAAATGTTCCCCTGCAGTGCTGGAAACCACACACCAGCTTTGGGCTCATTTAGATTCTGTTTTTTCTCAAAGCAAGTTTAATTGGCAAGAAAACTTTTGTAAAATACAGAGATATGAGGAATTATAGGCAAAGAACCCTTGACTCGTAATTAACTACAACAGACTCTGACATTGAAGTGACATTAATGGCTTTTCTCACAATGGAGAGACATTTAAACAATGCAAATTCAAAATGCCCTTAAAAATCTCATGAACTGACTAGTTAAAATAACACAGAGAAATCCTAG